CTCTCTCTCTCTCTCTCTCTCTCTCTCTCTCTCTCTCTCTCTCTCTCTCTCTCTCTCTCTCTCTCTCTCTCTCTCTCTCTCTCTCTCTCTGTTCTAAGCCACTCTCAGGCCTCACTATCCCTCTTCGAATGTTTTCACCGCTCTCCCCGTCCACTATTGTCTTGTCTCTGTACTGCTAGCTATGGCACCAAGCGCCATCTCTCCTCTCTCATCCGCTCCGTGGTCAAATAATAATGCAACAATGTTTCTGCAACTATCAGGAATGAAAAATTGTGGTGATGCTGGCTGTGACTGGACTTTTGTACTTGGTCCAATTCCAAAATCATTGGTGACATTGGTCCCTTTTTGCCCCGGCCGCTGCTGGCCTCAGTGATTCGGACCACCATAAGACTTTCCTGGGCCTGAGCTGCAGCTGATCAGGACTAACATACGACTGTTACCTAAGGACTACTCCTACGGACCCTGGCCTGCCGGTTTCTGTACGACATATTGTATGATAGCTACCGGAAGTCTCTAGTATGGCCTGCTCGTAGGATATATGTTACAGGGGGAAATTGGGATTTGGTACGAGGGCCGGACTCGCGTGAATCCTTTCACGTCCATCTAGTGATCCATCCATCTATACATCTACCGATCCATCTGGTATCTACCTACCCATTCATGTTATGTAACTGATTGGAACTCAATCCACTACGAGCTCACGCATTCCCATCCACGCATGCAATTATGAAGCGGACTTGGAGAAGGTAAGTCCACACAAAACCGGAGAGAGATATGTAGTGGAAGCTCAAGATACAAAAACAGAATTGATTGAAAATTCAATTCTGGAATCCACCTTCCTCCTCCAACCAATTAGAATTACACAAATTCCCAGAATCTCGACCATGTTTCAACAACTGCAACAGAATTCAACAAGTTTCAACCAAGTACCTAGGAGACTTCTTCTTCCTCCCTATCAGTTTCCACAGCTCTAGCTATGGCGCCACCCTGAAACAGCGCCTCAACCCCAACACCTGCAGACCACTGACACTACCTCCCTGTCTCAACCGCCGACCCATCAAACACAGAAATCCCTTATTGCAGACCCAATGCCCATTCCAGGGAGCAGCACCAGCCTCCCTGCAGAAAAGAGAACTCCCACCTTCAAAGAAGAAAGATGGAACTGCTGCCATATGGTAACAGCTACAGCAGTGCCCAACTCCCACACATCTCAGAAAGATCTTGCCGCTCGCAGCGTTTCAGAACCTGTTGAATTGCTGCCTCTCAAGTCGAACCAGCCCCAAGCTATGGTGGTTGTCGTCTTCCCTTTCAGCAGTGCGGCGTTCACCAACCAAACTGAGGGCATTTCCCCAACAATTGAAAATGAAAGAGCACCTCAAATTAATCGACACACAACTATTTCTGCTGCTAACCTACGGCCTGCCACACCCAGGGCTTATGAAACAGCACAGCCTGGAGGACCGATACAAGACCCAGTGAGTGAGGGAAAGTCTTAGGGCCGAGAAATTCACAGAATTTACAGAAAGTCCCCGTAGGGACTAGGCCGTTGTGGCTTACAGCTTAGAGCCCCCGGTCACAGAAAATTAGAAGACTGACCCTAATATAGTTACAGCCCACTGAAAACACAAGGTTCATTGCATTCCTACCCTCCCGGGGAGCAAGGACCCCGATCTAGGAGTGCCCACGAGGCGAACATCTGGGCAATTGCCCTTTTTGTGCAGCCTCATGAAACAGCATAACAGACTTTGTAGACTTGAGAAGTCCCTTCCTTGTAAAGCACCCGTCTTCAGTATAAGGATGAGATAGGAACTCGACAAGATATCCGCAGTTGGGGCAAACTGCTCTTCAATGCTTTTGACCTCATATCCTCTGCTCGGGATAGGAGGACCGAATTGAGGTGGTCCCTCTTGAAATGCATCCGATTTCACGAAAGAAAGTAACTTGAATGCATGGAAGACAGGGTAGGTTCTGATGTGAGGGGGTATAACCAGCACATAGGAAGGACGAAAAGGATCTGCCCCCACTGTATTAAGAACCTGCCATGGGCCATAGTAAATGGGCAACAACTTTCTTGAGATGTCCTGCTCATCAGACAATTCAGAACGTTTGACCCAGACCTAGTGCCCTGGACGAATGGGGGAAGGTGTCGCCTTCTCCGTGATGCAGGTGATAGCGGCAATGGCGCCCGCTCTGTCGAAGCAGCTCATTGATGACTTGAAAAAAGAGAAGAGAGAGAGAGAGAGAGAGAGAGAGAGAGAGAAGAGAGAGAGAGAGAGAGAGAGAGAGAGAGAGCTGTCTCTTATACACATCTAGAAAAAAGTGTAGGCGCC